CCCCCCTCCGCTTCCGGTTGCCCCTTCTCTCATCCTGTCTGGTACCCAGACTCTCCTGCTTCACCTCCCACCGGCCGCTTCTCTCCCGCAGCACTGCCATCAACGCCGTGTCCTGGTCACCGTCGGGAACTCACGTGGTCAGCGTCGAGAAAGGCAGCAGGGTGGTGCTTTGGTCGGACATGTGATCGCTCTGCTGTGTCCTCATTGGCCCGAAAAGGGGGCGGAGCCAGATCCAGCAGCAGAGAAAGTGACGAGTGGGAGCCATCAGTCTGCTCCCGGTGTGAAAGGATATAAGCCCTAGTAAACTCCAGGAGCCACAGTCCTGTCCTGTGTGTGTGTGTGTGTGTGTGTTTGTGTGTGTGTTTATGTGTAAGCGTGAGAGTGCGTGTCTGTGTCTCCGGTCTCTTGAGTGTATCCATATTCAAATCCTTACAGTGTTGCGATGCATGCAGACATAGCCACAGTGAGCCAGGCCTTGCTGCCCTGCTGTCCTGTTTGTACTGGAAGGCAAGTGTTGGCGCTAAGGACAGCCCCTGCCTGAGGTGCATTGTGGGATATGAAATTGACTGTGGCGGAGTGCCAAGGGTGTGTGTCTGTCTGTGTCCAGATGGGGCTGCTCTTCTCCATGGTTTAATCCAGAAGAATCTCCGCTTATTTAACTGTAAATATTGAAATAACAATAATAAATGATACTCCCACCAATGTGTGCTTTCCTGTTTTACCGTGTTGTCCACTTGCATTTATTAATATGGTTTCGGTTTATGACTGTTGGACACCAGTGGGTTTAAACAAGAAACCAAATGTAACCTCCCATTTTTCTGTAAACTTGTATATCGATTTTAAATTAAACTAGGTGAGATTCTGCTTAAGAACAAGCTGACTTTATTGTTCTACCGAATGGCAATTTGCCTGCAATGTCTGAAATCTCTCAATTGTCTTAAAGCCTCTATGGGTAGATATTTTTGAAGAGCAGTGACCTATAAACCAGACTGCAGGCCTGCGTCTCTGGATGAAAACGGAGAGGGTGCTCAGCCCCATGTTTGTTTCCTAAGCCAAGAGCGTTCCATGTGTGAGCCTCTTGTTTCGAGATTAGCGGCACTGAAGGTGATCCCCTTAAACACACAGTCTGCTGACAAAGGTAAGACGGGCTTAAGCCTCAGGGTCAGACTCCGCTGATGCTGGCTTCTGGGTCCCTGTCCCCTCCGGCAGGGAGGGCTCACCATTCGCTGCTCTGGATGTCAGTCACAGTGCTCCGGTCATCCTGTAATTAATTACATCTGTTTACACATATACAGCTATTTATATAGCTGACGGCTTTGCAAGGAAACGTGATCTATAAACGAAGCCATGCACAGGTTTAAGCATCGGCCACATTGGCATGGTCCTGGGTCTTATAGGGTTAACACTGAGGTGCCCCCTGCCCTAATGTGTGATATGGGGGGAGTCATGTGACAAGCCATAAGAGGTCCTCAGCTAAACCCAGCACCCCTGACCTCTATTCTTTGTCTGTCATTGACAAATCCATCCCTCTGCTGACGAAGGGGAACTCGTCTAATGCAGAGTGCCAGGTGAGTGTGTGCACACTGTGCGATCACCTGATTGGCCGGGCCGCAAAGTGGCACGAACCATACAAATACTGAGTCCCCAGTGTCAGCCTGACGCTCTGCACGCCAGTGTGTTTGTGTCTGTTCCCCGAGGGTCGAGGGTCCCCACCTTTAGCCTGGGTAGTGCTGGTTGGGTCTGTTCGGCGTTTCTCTTTCAGGATTTCATCTGATTCTCGTCTTGAACCAGAAAATGAGCCCAAAACACGTCGTCTTCAAGAAGTTTTTGCGAGACAAATCGGTGAGCGCCGGTCTTACAAATGCTTTACAAAACCATTATTAAATAAGTTTTTAAAGAAATATATAGAAAGAATAAATACAGACATTAAACAGCATAATATTAATCACATTTAAAAAGATTTTGGGATTTAAAAAGATTTTGGGATCACCAATCTGAGAAAAACTAAATGTACAGAATATTTATGAAATGTTTCTTAAATAATTACTGCCTCAATTTGCATATATAATGCACTCATAACATTAAACTTAAAAAATGAAATAAAATGTATCTCTGGAAAATAAACACACTTTCTTGTCATATTTAGAACCTCATAGTAGTATGATATGTTAAAACAAATTAGCCAACATAGAATAGTGGATTCCATTAGTTACATTATTTAAAACAAGATATACAGCTGTTTAAAACTAGTTCCTAGCTGGTTTTAAACAGGCTAAGCTGGTCTGCATTCTGCTACCTTATTCTGTACATATTCCAGTTGACCTGCTTGTGATCTGCATGCCTTCTGCATCGAACCTAGAATTGCAGATGTAACACTAATACTGTCCAGCTCAGGCAGGGAGTTGATTAACAGATGGAATCTGGGGCCTTATTGCCCTGGTGCATTAGTACCCCTTGACTGAAGAGCACGCAAGTAAAATCTGTATTTTTCTGTGACAGATTGGTGTGTACATGGGGAAGAGGGACTTTGTGGATTACTGTGATTTTGTGGAACCCATAGGTGAGTCACAGATGAAACAGTTATACCACTTCTGCTCCCCAGAAGGCATCAAATGCCTGACAGTCATTAATCTTCATTCCTCTAATTGTACACCAGATGGCGTTGTCGTCGTTGACCCTGTACTACTCAAAGGGAAAAAAGGTATGACGTCATCATCGTCAGCATGAGTATCGGAGCCCCGATCATCACATTTATTCTGAATTAATTCAGTTGAGTTTATTATTCTATAACCTTTATGTGTTAAATACACAATGGCATAGAAAACAAATGGGGAACACAAACACAACTTGATAATTAAAATGTAAATATTTATTTGTTTGTAGGGACAATCAAATAAACATGCCCTTGTCCCTACATCCCTGTAAATACAATAAGCACATTAGAATGAAAGTGCTGACTCACAACCTGCAGATACAAAGTGCCTGATATCTCTCCTCTTCCAGTGTATGTCAGCATATCCTGTACCTTCCGCTACGGCCCAGACGACCAGGAGGTCATCGGTATAAAGTTTTGCAGGGACATCTACATGTGCACCCATCAGGTGTACCCTCCCTTGCTGGACAGAGACAAGGGCATCCACACCAGGACGCAGGAGAGACTGCTGCATAAGCTTGGGCAGAATGCTCACCCATTCTTCTTCGAGGTGAGGACAGTCAGACAAAGCTGTGTGAGGTATACAGTGAGTGTGATCTCTGAGTGTGTTCTCTGTGCGTGATGTATACAGTGAATATGATCTGTGAGTGTGTTCTCTGTGTGTGATGTATACAGTGAATATGATCTGTGAGTGTGTTCTCTGTGTGTGATGTATACAGTGAATGTGATCTCTGAGTGTGTTCTCTGTGCGTGATGTATACAGTGAATGTGATCTCTGAGTGTGTTCTCTGTGCGTGATGTATACAGTGAATGTGATCTGTGAGTGTGTTCTCTGTGTGTGAGGTATACAGTGAGTGTGATCTCTGAGTGTGTTCTCTGTGCATGAGTTATACAGTGATTGTGTTGTGTGATTGTGTTCTCTGTGCGTGAGGCACACAGTGAATGTGATCTGTCAGTGTGTTCTCTGTGTGCAAGGTATACAGTGAGCGTGTTCTGTGTGTATGAGGTATACAGTGAGCATGTCCTGTGAGCATGTTCTCCATGTGTGAGGTATACAGTGAGCGTATTCTCTGTGTATGACGTATACAGTGAGCATGTCCTGTGAGCATGTTCTCCATGTGTGAGGTATACAGTGAGCGTGTTCTGTGTGTTTCAGTTACCAGACAACCTGCCGTGCTCCGTGTGTCTACAGCCAGCTCCTACAGATGTTGGGAAGGTAAGGGTGATGTATTAATTTCTTCACTGTTTATGTGCGGTAATTTAATAAGCCTCACTTCTTTATATAGCCATCTGCTCGATTGTATGCATATACCAAAATAAATGGTTTTTATTTCTCATCCATCTTCTGTTTATTTTCCCCTGGCAGTACTGTGCTGTGGAATTTGAAGTCAAGGCTTTTGCTGCAAAGGATAAGGAAGATCAAGTCCAAAAACGGTACAGCCACTGCAGAAGCAGTCCCTTCTTTAAAATGTGTGTCTAGAGGTGTTGACCTTTCTCCTCCCTCCTTCCAGGAACTGTGTGAGCTTGGCAATACGCAAGGTGCAATATGCTCCAGACCAGGGTGGTGCCCCTCCCTCAGTGGAGACCATTCATGACTTTTCTACACCTGACAAGCCTCTCTATCTGAAAGCCAGCTTGGAGAAGCAGGTGGGCTTTGCTCCTAAAACATGATAACCCACCATATTATACAATATTTCATTACATCAAGTGTTTTTTAATTTTACGTCACAATACATTAAACCGAAATCACATTTCATCCGTCATGAAGTGCTGTTACTCAAGAGAAGTAGAGCTCTTTATGCTTAGATCCTCTTCCATCTAAAACTTCTGCTACTCTGGAGCTGGGCCCATTGTTCATGAGAGCATCCAGTTTCACTTCATGACATTGCCTCCCATATGACATGACCCTGTTCCCTTTGAGCTGCTTCTGTTCCTCACAAAATCCCTTGTTTACTTGAGATTCTCCTATTACTTATGACATCCTGGTACCTTCTGCTTTCCGTTCAGACTTACTATCATGGGGAGCCAATTAAAGTGCAATTGAACATCAACAACAACTCCAACAAAACAGTGAAAATCATCATAATTACAGGTGAGGTAGCTGTTTACTGCACACATTCCCATTTTTGCCAGTAGATGGGGCTGTTCGGCGGTGATGTAGGGAGCATCAGCGGTTCACTGATGACTCTGACCAATCTCTTCATGATCTTCTTTCTTTGCAGTGGAGCAGGTGGCTAATGTGGTGCTGTATTCTAATGACAGCTACATGGAAATTGTGGCCACAGAGGAGCCTTTGTGAGTGTTAGGTGGTCGACATACACCGTTGATGATGTTTCAGTCTTAATGAGCAATAGTTCAGAGATCATGAGAGCTAAAAGATAACAAGTGAGAATTAGATGGAGTGGACATTGTTTGTGTTTTGGTGAAGGTCCACGACTTCTAAATCACTTAGGAACGGTTCTCCACACTAAATCCTCTGTCATATTGGCCATATCTAACACACATCAGTATCCTGGTCCAGGGACACAGTGGATCCTGGTGACAGCCTGGACAAGGAATATTCCATCCTGCCCCTCCTGGCTAATAACCGCCATAAGAGGGGTATAGTTCTGGATGGGAAGCTGAAACAGGAAGACACCAACCTTGCCTCTTCAAGCATGTAAGTGAACGGCCGCCAAGAGGGACGTGAAAAGCTGACAGCAGCACCAGGACGTGTGGGGTAGTAGGAAGAGTCATCTATCTCAAAACTTGTTCTGTGCTCTAGCTCTTCAACAGGAGAAAGATTGGGTGCCTCAGAAATAGGATGTAGCAAAAGCATGGCCCAGTGTGAACGTGCTTTGGAGATTCAGGATCTACATCCATCCGTCTTCGAACCACTTATCTTGGCCAGGGAGCACCTGCAGTACATCCTAGGCATACAGAACTATGGAACACCCTGGACAGTCCATTGCAGGACATACAAGCTTATGCACTATAGGGAATTTTGAGATGCAAATGAGCCTAACTAATAATTTGCATGCTCTCCCCACTCAGTGTGGGAATAACATGCAAACACCAAATACACAGAGCAAAGGCAGGATCCACCCCTTGATTCAGGTGTGAGGCCACAGTGATACCTTCAGTGTTTACACTTGTGAGGAAAAAAAACACACATTTGTGAACCCTTTGGAATTATTTTTATTTCTCCCTTAACAGCTCCTGAAACTTGATCTAATGTTCAAACTCATCAAACATTTATGGGGACCTTGAAGACCAAGAAAGTCAAGCATTTGGTAACATCACAAAATGACCTTTGAAACAGGGGTCATACACGTAAAATTAGAGAGAAAACCTTTTCAATATGCCTGTGGATGTCACAACAGGAACTCAGGGAAGAGCTACAAAGTACATAGGCATGTTTTATTCCGGGAGTATCTCACTGGACTATGCCGCTATGACAGGTGACAATGACTGAGGGGACATTAAGCGAGGGCAGACACATATATACATGGATAACGAGACACCAACTAGTGACAGGTGGAGACAATAACAATTAATCAGACACAAGGAACCACCAGTAATGGGAATCAGCTGTGGGTGAAGGAGAGGAGAGTTCAGAATGGCCAGCAGTGACCTCTGCTGGCCAAACGGGAACAGGACATAGCAGATGGTTCTGGATCATGACAGTGGATTGACAGAGACCCAATCATTTCAATCCTGCCTAATGAATCTCAGCACATCTTCTTCTGAGACCCCCTGAAATCTCTTCACTCTAATCATGAATTATATCACCAGCTCTCAGTTGTGAAAGGCAGCATTTATTTCATGACCAGCCTTTGAAGGCTTTTATATAGGCACCTCAAAAACCACCTCCCCTCCTGACTCCAATCACTCACTCCACAGACGTCAACAGCCTGCAATTTCACATACTTTTTCATCTTATCAATACAGCTCCCTTTTGTCACTTATTAATGGTAGTAACTCATTAATTAAAAAAAAGACTTGTATTAGAACTTACCATTGTCTATTAATGATTTCCAAAGTGTTACACCCTAATTATTAACCTGATTAAAAACCATTCATAAACCCTTTATAAGGGTAGTCATATTAAAAAAGTGGTACCCTTTTTCACACATGAATGCTTCAACAAAACAAATGTAACAAAGTATAATTGTTTGTGCGTTGTTTAAAGACTATTGTTTAAAGCTTTTTTTTACTATTCCTTCATAAAAGATTAGAGCACAGTTGATGCAGACAATTCCAAAGGGTTCACAATCTTTTTCCCACAACTGTACCCCGCTTGCTGAGTGTAGTAGTCTGCGTTTAAAGGTGTAGTAAAGCACGTGTAAGGTGAGGTGTGTCTCAGGATGCACTTGAAGAGCACCCCCGGGTGTTGTACAGTGTGTGTAACGTAGGGTGCTGATCTCTGTCTTGCAGTATTAAAGATGAAGTCCTGAAAGAGGTTCTGGGAATCTTGGTGTCCTATAGGCTGGTGGTCAAGCTCATCGTTGGCGGGTCAGTATGTGTCTGTTTGGGTGCTAATCAGTTTACAGGATTCTGATATCTGAAACTAACCAGATGTCCTTTTTGCTTTATAGGTTATTTGGAACCAGGTAGGAGGAGATTTCTGCAATCCCAAACTGGCATATCATTCTTGAATATTTGCCCTTGAAGAGTGAAGGGCAGAGTATGCAGACCGGTGAAACACTGTGATAGGACAGTTTCACCTTGTAGTAGTCAGTTGTCTTTTAGCGAAGTGAGTCCCATTTGCATGTGAAATCGACCAATAGCTTCTGCTACATAACTGTAAGAGTAGCATCCATTCATTGACATTTTCCATCCCCCACTGTCCCTAAGCTCACCAGGTGAGTTTGTTTCAAAGAGAAAGAGGAATTGCCTATTTCCCGTGCGTCATAAATCTATAAAAAGCTGTGCCGTCTCTTCCTGGAGCAGTTCTGAAGGATCTGCGCACATCAGGATTAACACCTAATAGCACCGGGGCAGTGACAGCATAATTTCTCACCTGGGCAAACTCAACAGGCCAAGTTCTTTATGTTTAAATGTTTGGTGGCTGTGCTCCTCTGTCTGAGATCTCTGAGCTGCTGCGTCTGTTTCAGTGACGTCCAAGTGGAGCTGCCTTTCCAGCTGATGCACCCCAGACCTGACCTAGGTAGAGTGCCCCTACAGAGTCAGTGCTGTGTGTTTATGCTGGAAGGTATTCTCTCCCTCCAATAATAACCCATGTTCCCTTTCTATCTGTGTTCTTCTGATATGCACCCAGTAGAGAAAGAAAGGTAAGAATGCCTCTAGCCCTGGTGGTCAGCGTACAGCTAATCCTGAAAGTTTTATCAGCCTTTCAAAACTTTGCCCGATGTCGGATGTTAGACTGATGAAGTCTCCATGGCATCTGTGTTCGTCTGCCCTGGGACAGTGACCAGGAGGAGGTGGACTTCCAGGACTTCAAGCGCCAGGACTCCAAAGAGATGGTCAATGATGAGGAAGAAGATGTGCCGCCTGTCGGGGAATGAGGGGCCCTGGGTGTGCTGTCACCTTGAGGAATGTCCCCTCAAGATAAATGCCAGCGCTTCAGTGGCTTCGCAGAGGGTTAGGCAGGTAGGAGTAGGATTAGGTCGCTAATCCTATAGCTCACAGCTGCTGTCCCCTTATCCATAAATTGAGACTTTAATATGACCCGTGAGTCTTCTTCTTCTTCCCAGTGAGTGGTGGCCATTTTGTGCAGGTAGACTTACAGCCCTATTATTGAAAGTAGTTAAAGAATTACTATGCTCATTAAATCCAATAAAACGGTGCATGAAACTTAGGACCAGAGAATATGGACCCAGAGTGGGTCCAGGATTGAATTTCAGGACTGGGGAACTGAGTTTTGAGGCCGTGACCATGGCCCGCAAGCTTCTCACATATTAACATGTCACAAACACAAACAGTTAAAACATATCCTTACATACTTTATTTTAGAACGTATGAACAACACAGAGCAAAGATGCAACATGAAATAAATGGAGAAAACGTAACTCCTCGAGTGAAATTCATTTGTTCAGTCAGATCGAGCGCATCACTCAGTCCCTGTTTCCATGTGCACAGCTATGATGTTGGAGATCCACCTCTGACCTATGAAAAGAATTACAGTACCACTGCAGACACACACCTTTATAATGCTGCTAACGCTGTCACTGTGCTGGGAGTGACCTGCACAATCTAAGTGATTCTAGCTGGTTCCATTCCGGACGTGCATCTCTACAGTCATATATGTCTGTAGATGATATCGATACAAACAGATTCCCCTGTTCACACCTAAAACCTCAATCTGTCTTCAGGGGCACATCTGTACCGTCCCAGTAACCTCACATTTATATATTGACCACACAGCACTTTCTTCGAAAACATTCCTGGTCTGAAACTGTTCCAAAGATCAATTTAAAAAGGTCCTGTGTGGTTAAAGCCAGTCCTATTTTAATAAAATAAAATATTTTTTAAGTGGAAAAAGCCAAAAGTGCCTGTTTCTTTTGTAAACGCTCTAAGATATCATGAAGGAATTGAAGATGGAGAAAGCATGAGGTTAGAGTTTGGGTCACTATCAGGATTTGTGCTGTTTTCCTGCCCCTACAGTTCAAATGGCACCTAATTCTGTCTCTAAACCGCCTGTTCTTTTTCACTGACTGAACTACTAATGAACACAGTCAAACATTTATAACAGTCAGGCTCACAAAGCATATAAGTAGCAATTGGTTTTTAAACAGAAATATACTGTTTATTTTTGAATGCAAATATAAGTTATTTTGCTACTCAAAGTTAATATACTAATATATTTGCTTAACTAGTATAGTGTACATTGAGAACCACGCTCTTTTATCAGTCCATGTTAATGAATGTCAAAAGAACACAACCATTAAGCAGCTAACAGGGCTGGGCTTCAAAGAACCAATCAGGAGGAATTTCGGATGCTAGTGGCATTTCTACTTCACAGAGCTTTGCAAAAATAATTAGGCTAGGATAAACGGTAGGAGAAACAGCTTCATTTCCGAGGTAAGTTCGCCTAGAGGAAGAGGATTTACATAAGGTTACTGGGAGAGGCTGTCATCAGGCAGGTGCTGGGAGGCTCGTTCTACTCAGGTGGGACGGAGACTGTAGGTTCAGGTGTTGTTGGGGTCTCTTCGTCATCCCACCTATACTCTCCCTCCATCGGTGGAGTGAAGTCTCGGAACAGGGGCAGGTCACAGCTGTCGGGATGGAGCAGGAAGCCGCTGAAGCTGCTGCTGCTCTCGGAGCTGGCGTACATGCCGTTGGTGAAAGTGTCCTTCACCTGAATCCATACCCGGTCTCCCATGGACAGGTGCAGCACCACCAGCTGGGAGGCGGTGGCCAGGTCCGTGGGCTCGGTAGACTTGATCACGGGCCGGAAGTTGAGGAACATCCCAACTTTGAGCAGCCGACTGAAAGCGACCACGCTGTAGCTGAAGACATAGGTGCCGTTGATGGGAGCCGTGTAGATTCCCATGTCAGGGTTGTAGTTGCCCTGCATATTGTAGAGCACGCGTGTGAAGGCCACCGGGGAGCCCGGCATAGGGTACACGTTGTCCAGAAGGGCCGAGAAGGCCGACTGGATGGCTGGGCTGCATGGCCCTGGGAAGCCTTGCTCACCCAACTCTCCCTTCTGCCCATCTTCCCCTGGAGCCCCCGGAGAGCCCTGGTCCCCCTTGGACCCAGGGGGACCATCCTGCCCGTCTATCCCATTGAGTCCATCATGGCAGTTGCACTCCCCTTCTGGCCCCTCCTCACCTTTCTGCCCCTCCTTCCCTGGGGTTCCCTGGAGACCTATATCCCCCTTTTCTCCCTTCTGTCCTGGGGTGCCTGTAGACCCTGCTATCCCCGGTAGCCCCCGAACACCCACAGGTCCAGGGAGTCCTGGGTCTCCTGGGGGACCCGAGATACTTTCGCAAGTCTCAGGGCATTGGCCCGCATCACCCTGAGGGCCCTGTTCACCTGGGGGTCCCTCGACACCTGGGTCCCCCTTGTCTCCTGTAAACAAGGAGCAATAGAGGTGAATGCCGCGTTTCTTGGCCTGCGATGAGCCGACTTCTATGTTGCATCCCACTCACCCTTGAAACCACGCTCTCCCTTGGGGCCGGTGAATCCCAGCGGTCCTTGGTTGCCCTTCTCTCCTTCATCGCCCTTCTGCCCTGGGGTGGGACAGAAAGGACAGTAGGAAGTCACACAACACTGGAGCACTGCAACCATTACCTACGGTGGCGTTTGTCTAGTTCAGTGTTTCCCTACCCAATCCTTGAGGACCCCTCCAGACAGTCCACGTTTTAGCTCCCACCCAGCTCTTGGTAAGATGTGGACACTAGAGGCCTGGTAGGGAGCTGGATGTGAGCAAAAACATGGATTGTCTGGAGGGTCCTAAAGAACTGGGTTGGGAAAACACTGATATAGTTCAAGCATAAAATCTGCCACAGCATTACATTTAAATTTACTTTTATTTAGCAGACACTTTAGCCCTGCACTGGCTCCCAGGATCCAGTGCTGCAGTGCCGACCGTCCAGTGAACACCCAGCTAGATAGGCAAGCAGTACTGGGGCAAAAGTCACACAACATCTTCCAAGCAAAGCAAGTACCTAATAACACAGCTATTCAATGGGCAGAAAGTGCAACATTAAGAACCTTGAGGCGACACAGAGTGGTATCAGGCTAGTAGAGGTATTCCTGGAACAGATGGGTCTTGAGGCCTTAGTTGAAGGTGGAGAGGGTATCTGATGACCTGTATTACAGTACATGGATGACTGCACACAGAATCGATGAAAGTTAGTGCAGGGTAATGGACTGTATTTACCCTTCAGCCCCAAGCGTCCCATGAAGCCTGGTCGCCCCCTGAACCCAGTGAATCCTCGTGGTCCTGGACTCCCAGGACTGCCTGTAGAGAGCGAGAGGGAAACAGAGGAGTCCTTCCATTTTTCTGGGAACAGCACTGGGGTCCTGCATGAGAAAGGCCTGCAGTGCCGCGGCTAACCTGACAAGCCCCTGCTTCCACGGTCCCCCTTGGATCCGGAGGTGCCCTTACAGTGCGCACACAGGCAGAACCAGGGCACGGTTTGCAGGGGCGGGGCTTCTGGAGCCTCCAGCAGCATCTGACAGTGCGACATGTCCGGTCCGAGGTTCGGCATCATGCCATCCTCCATCCCCATGTCAAAAAAGCGAGAGGTGCGGCTCATGTTGCCAGGGAGGGAGAAACTGCCACCAGATGGCGCTGCAAGGTGATCGTCATCCGTGGGAAAGTACGAGTCCTCCGAGCCTGGGGGAGGGGGAGGGGAGAAGCCCGGGTGCCCTGGAGGTTCAGGCATTATCATGGCTAAAGACACAGAGAACCAGAGTACGACTCCCAGAAGAGGACACGGGGTCCCAGATACCTGGAAAGGGGTGAAGAGCAGGACAGTGACATCAACACTGGGCACAGAGGGCAGCGCAAATCTGAGTGCTGAGAAGCAGGACACAGCCATCTGGTCAGAAATACACCACCCTGCAGACACGCCTCCCCCATGAGTATAAACCACATTCATCACTCTGAGCCTCAACTGCAGTAGTAAGCCCATGTTGACAGTATTTATTCAATGTAATCAGCAAAGTGTCAGTCTAGACCAGGGATAGGCAACCCTGATCCTGCAGTGCCAGTATTCGCCAGGCTTTCTGTCCTACCTGATGAGTTAATGTCTTCCTGAGAGGTAGGATAGAAAACCTGCTGGATTCTGGCACTCCAGAATCAAGTTCGCCTACCCCTGGTCTAAACACTGCGTTTCAAGGTAACTCTAATCAGCACCATATTAAACCAACGTCGACTATAACTTATTATAACTGATACAAGAATCAGGAAGCTGCATTCTGTCAATCTGCACACTCTTATTAGCCTGAACGAAGTAGCAAAGTGACACAACCTGTAACTTAGTCATCCACACATATACTTAACCATTCCTCATTGCAGTTTAATCCTCATTTAAATCTCACAAGCGAACTGTTATACAGTTACATTGTTACCTATATCTGGGAATCAGAGCTGTCTACACTCACCTTCCCAGGAGTTCTACCTGCTGAGGTGAGTTCTTGCGGTCCCTGACACTGATTGGCATGTGTATCCAGCAGTGGAAGGCTAACCAGTGAAGACTAACACACTCACCGGGCCGGCTGAGCTTTGTGCCATCTCTTACAAGGCCGTCTCTCTTTGGAATAAGCAGCCGGGCTGAAGCATTGGTCAATATATAGGCCTGACCCAAAATGCATTGCAGCTACTCAACTGACGCCCTCTTGCCCCTCAAAACAAAGCAGAGGGAGCAGGTAAGCGATATCTTATTGTAGAGCAGATGCAGATCTAGGGCTTCTGCCTCTGCTTCTGCTCCTGCTCCATTAAACCCTGTAAGATGACCTCATTACTATGTCACATCATAGTCCAGAAAATAATAATAATAATAATGTATCATTCTCCTGTTTCGGGCTATAAAACTACAGAGCCGATCTGGAGATAGTGAAAGGGGATCCTTGGGGGAATGTGGATACCGGTATGAGTCCCACGGAAGTAGATCTGGCCTGGCCTAATTCCGAGTCTATACCCACTCGAGGCAGCTGTCGATGCCCCTCTTACTCGTGGGTGGCCCATCTGCCATTGATCAAACCGGATTTGGCCAGTCCAGATTTGACACAGCATTATGGAAGTGACCCCATACCTGGTATCTGGCTCAGGTTCACCAGAAAGGCTTCTGATCAGCATCTATACACATCCAGTCTCTTACGAAAAGGCCATTATACAGCAGGCAACACATGTACCAACATCAATTGAGCGCCTTCCTGAAGTGGCGTAGGGTGTCATGACGACCCAATGTTCCATCCAGGTTGCATCCTGTACCCTCTTAGTCTTTCCCCAGCGATGTCATGCCTTATCTCTCTGTCCTGAGCTTAGGCTCGAACCCGGCCAAAGTTAACCCTAGATCCTGCCCTGACTTGCTGGGTGACTTGTAGCACTGCAAGCCGTAGTGTAACCATCTGTGACCCGCCCAAAAAACGGCTCCGTCTCAGGGGCCCGTGGCCCCAACCCTGTCTCCCTCTTGCTGGTGAAATAGAATACCATTCCATTCATTAGTCTCCAGCACATGAAACTTGATATGCAGAAACAAGGCCCCAGCACAAAGCAGTTATAGACTTGATCCTCACCTAAAGCCAACACCTAACAAGTGCCCTCATTTCCACAAAGTCAGACAAACAATACAGTGGCATGTGTGAATGTGAAATATTTCATCTGTTTATTCGTCTTTGTAGCATAAATCTCCATATTTTTATGCCCGGTTTTCTTTTGCACTCCAAAATGCATAGTTTTTGGGAATTAGGTGCTTTTAAAAAAAACAGTTTGCATTTGCCTGTGTTTTGTTCCACTAAAGAATAGTGTGATAATCTTTCCTTTTATTTGCCCATATGCTAATTATGTATTTTCATTACCACAGAGGATAATGGATGTAGAAATTTCATGAAACACTCACAGCTTTATGTCAATCTGCCACTCAATGTGTGGCCTGTAGGTGGCGATGTCTTCCTGCTTTTTTCCTTCTGTGACTAGCTTTGTAGTAAAATGCACAACACCTTGAGTTTTTCCCCATCATGTTGTAGCACTGCAATCTGCACAAGAGATTTTGCACAATATCTCGCACTGCCTTATTTATCTGTTTTGCATGTCTATGTGGGTGTAGACAGATCGTACACTGTCCAGTTGGACAATTTGTGGGCATTCAGACTGTGGACTCACAGTAAACATGACAGTTAGTCATTAACACAGTTTAAACACAGGATATCCCATTCCTTCAACTTCTTCTCTTAGATGTAAGTAAAACTGCATTTATAGACCTTTTTTACCTTTAAATAACTCTTCTCTGTCTTATTGCTTGTGTTTTGCCTTGTTTTAAACCACGAAATGGAATCAGTAAATGACTGATTTACTGATTCCATTTAATATGCAGTTTCAAGCCCCAAGGCTGATGGCTTAAGTATATATAATGTAGCTCAACTGAGATTTGAGATGTCTGCAAAACTAAGCAGATTAACAACATTAATCTATAGAAATTCAGCAGTTCCACATGTAGACATTTTTATTCTGGAATTGGCGGTCGGGTACAATATTCTTCTAACTTTAAAAAAAAAATGGCTAGGGTGGGTGATTATATAATATTCCAGTTACCCTCAGGATTGTAAATTAATCCACATGTACGCCCTAGCAAATTAACAAAAATTGTGTTCGGGAAAATGTTGCAATGATGAGAAAAATGTTTTCTGGAAAAAAAAAACTTGGGAAAGAACACACCTTATAGTCATGGAGATGAGCAGGGCTGAACTCATCCTCGAAGGTTTCTGTCTCACAAGTGGTACTTTTTAATTCTACTTTTTCATTATTAGACACAATCATTGTCATGTAGCCAAGAAAGCATGCAGATGCAGTATTTATATCAGCTAAAAATGGTTTGCCTAACTATATTTTTACTTTCAGTGTCCACAATTAAAGAGTATTGTTTATGTTTATTCTTATTACAGAGTGTCACTAGAAGTAATCATGGTAAAAGAGTATTGCCTATAGTGTCTGTGGTCACAGAGTATCATTAGCATTGTCTATGTTTACAGCGTTACAGAAAATCTTCAGGATGGTCCACCGAGGTGTCATTGTGCTCGTTGCTCTGTGGTCATCAGGTGCAATTGGCCAATCAGGTAGACCGCCAGCTTTAAATATTCCTGAATTAACTGTATACTGTTCCACCTCTCAGTTTTGCACATGGGAGGGTGGGCGGCCACATTATCTAGCAGGCCATCCCTTTGTATCTGCACTTTCTGGACAGCATACAGAGTAGACCAGTACACTGTTTATCAGTCGTGAGCACTCATTCCAGATCTGTGTTCCATTCCTACCTGCCAAAGTGTTCCAAGACAGGCCCCAAGCCCACATGCTCTTGCGACATAAGCGGGCCAATAGTTTTCTAGAGGAGATCAAGCCCCCATCCAAGGAACGTGAGTGTGTGGAAGAGGTGTGCAACTTCGAGGAGGCCCGTGAGATCTTCCAGACTCGGGAGGCCACGGTAAGCAGCAGTTGTGAATGCCTGGTGTGTGCAGAGTATCTAGCACCAAAACTGATACCTTTGTCTACCTCATGTGTTTACAGATAGAATTCTGGGTTGTGTATACAGGTAAGTGCATGAATCAAGCTGGGCACAACAAATCCACCAGTCCTACGGGGTGATATCCACTGGTCTCACTGGATCTGGAATATTTTTCAGATGGTAATCAGTGTGAGTCCAATCCCTGTGTGAATGGAAGTTGCGTGGACCAATTCAAGTCCTTCACCTGCAAGTGCAACCAAGGGTTTGAAGGGAAATTATGCGACCACAGTTGAGTAGGACCTGCATGTCTGTATCTGTAGTCTTTGGCTGGAAGCCCGCCTAATGGTGCGTGTTCGGCATTCATCTGCAGCGTAGTGTTTCTGCACTGTCCTCAGATGTCACAGCTACAAGCTGCAGGAAAGACAACGGAGACTGCGAGCAGGTGTGCGCGGAGAGCGCCAACGGCACGAGCCGCGCGTGCAGCTGTGTCCGTGGCTACAGTCTCGACCTGAACTCCAGGAGCTGCATCCCCACTGGTAGGCCGCCTCGGTGACGGAGTGCCGAGCATCTCAGCATCTCCTGCGGCCTTTCAGCCAGTATGTCTCTCCCATCTTGGCAGCCAAATTCGCATGTGGCCGAGTGCACATCCCCAGAAGTTCTTCAGATGTTAAAAACCACAAAGGCCTGATGCCGTGGGTGGTGAGTGGGGAGAGAGGGAAGAAAGGTGAAAGCCCCTGGCAGGTATGATCCTCTGAGGTGTCACATGACCCCACCCCTCCCCCAAGGCTGACGTGGAGCAGTTAACGTGCAAGCATGTGTCTTTCGTAGGCGATGCTCCTGAACGAGAAAGGTAACCTGCACTGCGGTGGTGTTCTCATCTCTGAGTCCTGGGTCCTTACCGCTGCTCACTGTCTGGAAGGAGAGCCACACCTCAGTGTCAGACTGGGTCCGTAATGCTTTTTCTAGAAAGGCACTAATTCCAGCAGCCCGTGGACAGTGTTATGTGTCTGTGTGCCTCTAACAAGCATCACCATGTGTGTGAGCTGGTTTCCTGGAAACAGTGTCGCTCCAGCATCAGTGTGTGTGCCCTTGTTTCCAAGACGCCGTGAGCTTCACTGTATCTGTGTCTCTCTAGGAAACTATGACCGTTTCTATGTATGAGTGTGTGTCACCGGAGGAAAGGATGACCAGAGCTCTGCATGTGTCTTCAGAAGACTCTGAGTTTCATTCTGTCTGCACATGCCTCAACAGGAGAGTACGACCGGACCATCAAAGAGGGAAGTGAGGTAACGCTGCCTGTGGCAGAGTCCATCTCCCATCCCGACTACAACACGGAGTCTGTGGACAACGATATCGCCCTGTTGCGCTTGGCCTCGCCGGTCAGCTACACCACCTTCATCGCCCCAGTGTGCCTTCCCAGCCGCAAGCTGGCAGAGAACATTCTGCACCGTAACGGCACCAGCACCATCGTCACAGGCTGGGGCAGGAAAACCTACCAAGGCCCGATGAGCTTGGCCCTTCGCTACATCAACATTCCAGTGGTGGGGCACGAGCTGTGCTCGGACGTCATGCCGAACGAGATCACCGAGAACATGCTGTGCGGAGGGATCCTGGGCCAGGAGCAGGACGCCTGCAACGGTGACAGCGGTGGCCCCATGGTCACCAAGTATCACGACACGTGGTTCCTCATTGGCCTGGTGTCCCTGGGCGACCGCTGTGGACAGAAAGACAGGCTGGGCATTTACACTAAGGTGGCCAACTACCTGGACTGGATCGAGAGCATCCAGCAGACCAGAAAAAAGCCTTAGCTCTGCAAACAGAGATGTCCTAAAATCACAAGATTCATGTATGTGTACTGCTAAAATAAACTGCAGCCTCCGTTTCTCAACTGACCATATTTTTTCCCATATATGCTATGAAACATTGAGACAGGAATCGAATGGCCTTCCATTTAGGGAAGAGGACAAGGGCAGCCCTTTGTTGGCAGGTCGGATTGTGACCTGAGGGTTGAGCAAGCCGGGGACTGACTTTGTGAGAAATGCTTCATTAACTTCCCAATTCATCAATAAAATTGCATAAGAACATTACATAAAAATGTGATTGTGTCATGCAATTGAGATGCAAATTTCCTAAACTCACTCAGACCAAGGGCTACGTTTTCAAGAACATTTCTGTGGACTTTGTGAGTTTCAGAAATTTAACAAAAGTTCTCTGTCGGATTACATGAGGACTGAGTAAGTTATGTTTCCCAATACTGTCACATATGATGAGGAAGCCTGACTTTAGGTAATAGTTGGTCTCATCTCAACAACAACCAAAAATGAATTGAGTGAGTTCTGGAAATCTGCTCTTCAAGTGGTAGATCAGGCAGCTGCAAACTGCGGTAATCCTCCTTTTATGATACGCAGTGTGTCTGAAACGTAAACAATGTATTCTTTAGCACAAAGCATGAACATATAAACCCTCTCTCCACCCCAAACATTACCACACACTCCACACAGAACTCGAAAGGAATCATACCTAAGGTTGCCTTTCCCACTAAGTGAGAGGCCAAGCCATGTGACTCAAATTTTCTAAACTGCCCATAGTATGTGAGTGTGTCCTCTGTGCAGACTGTCCCCTGCCTTGTGTCCTCTGTGCAGACTGTCCCCTGCCTTGTGTGCTCTGTGCAGACTGTCCCCTGCCTTGTGTGCTCTGCGCAGACTGTCCCCTGCCTTGTGTCCTCTGCGCAGACTGTCCCCTGCCTTGTGTCCTCTGCGCAGACTGTCCCCTGCCTTGTGTCCTCTGCTTCCTGGAACAGATACCATGATCGTTATGATCCTTTACTGGATTAGCAGCCTGGAATATGAACATCAGCTGGCTGGAGTGAGATTTTCAGTTCAACATAAGTCTGCACACACATGCACACACATGCACACACATTTACATGGATGTAACAGTTTCATTACCTTGTAAACAATGTATAGGGTTTGCAAAGCACCCCAACGCTTTTTATGTAGCTAATTTTAGGTTTATAGTGGAATAATATAGATTTGCTGTAAGATTTTTTTTGCGTGAGCATGAAAGTCAGAAAGCACGAGTGTCACGCCAGGTATGTGAGATTTGGCAACCCTATGAACAGATAACAGGCTTGGTTTTTTTCGGGCATTTTTTGAACAGGATATGAGGCTCATAGATGTGTCGTGTGGAAGACGCATGGCTAAAACGTGTAACTGTAAGTAGAGTATTGCAGAATATTGCAGAGTATTGCAGAGAACGTTGAGTATTGCAGCAGTATTGCAAAGTGCTGTGGGAGGACAGCGGATAACATTAATCTCTGTGCAGTTGTTTGACCGCTAACAGCCACCAGGGCGGGGCACACACAGTGAGCGATAAGGGGGTAGGTGGGATATACCATATTCTGCTCTGTCACTTGCGCTCGGCATCCGCAGAGAGGCTGCGGGGTCTCGTGTTGGCGCCGACGTGTGGAAATTGCATCATGCTTAACCCACCATCTCGATGTGGTTTTCTAGAAAATGCCCCAGGCCCGTTTTTCTCTGGAAACACGTTGGCTTCGTAGTCACTCGCTTGGCTCCAAATAGGAGGCAACACCCGATAAGCACCTTTCAAAGAAAACAGTTCAGCACAAAATCGACAAAATTTGCTTTAGTCACTCAGTTATATGTATTGAGTTGTAGCTGTCCGAACCACACAGAGGGTTCCATTTAATAACATCTGGTTCTGGTTCTGGTGTTGGAATTTGAAATGGGCCTGTTCAGTATAAATATTTACTTATGAGTTATATTTATTTACAGGCATTTTATGATTTTCAGTGTTACATTTCTGGTTGATTGACCTATATATAAAATGATTTATTAGACAAACTATCCATTAAAATCATGTGTTCGGATACTTAAAGTTTTGGCGCAGAATGTGAGGTAGACAGAGAGACCCAGAAGGAAACAGACGCAGGCATAGCAAGAGACGCCCAAGGGCAGTTGAGTGACAGCCGAGACCAAGAAACAGGAGGAGGAGGGGGAGGAATACAGAGCAGGGGGGGGGCGGGGAAGAGGCGGAGCCTTTAGGGGAGACCTGAAATAAAAAGACAGGAGAAGCTGAGTGCTCAAAGTTGGGGAGCTGAACTTTTATGAAGCTCTAATCGACTCTGAAGCTATGCTGTGCAGGACGCGCAGACCTCCAGTCCACAGGAACAAGTGATCTGAGGGGGAGGGGGGGGACATCAGCCAATCTGGACATTCATCCTGCAGAACTAACACGCTAAAACGTTAAAAGAACGCGACGCAAACGAAGTCATGATCAAAAGCCTGCGGCAGAAGAGCTGAAGTAAGAGGAGAACAGAGTCAGAGTTGCCCAGTGAGGGGATGGAAGAAAGCCTGTGAGAGGAAGAGGAAGAGAGAGGAAGAGTGCGGAGAATAGCAGAAGTGTGCACTCAGCCGCAGCATGTCTCACAGCTCGACGGCCGTGGGCTGCTGGGGGACATTGGCGGTGCTCATGGGCCTCATGCTGGTCCCCTGCCTGGGGGAGCTATGTCTGTTGGAGCCCTGTAGCAGGAACAGCAGCACCAGCATCAACCAGCAGGTACGTCCTCACACAGCCTCATTCACTCAGAGATGCTCAGCAGCCGTCTGCTCACGCGACAAACAGTGCATGCTAACAAACACACAGGCCAGCAGTGTTGAGCATGAAGAGTCATAGTCACAGAGTATTCAGTTGGTCTATAGAAACAAAATCTTGGTCTGGATTTGTAGCTTTTGGACTTGAAATGCCCAACACTGCTTACCAGCCACACACACACATATACACGCACACATACACAGATTAGGTATCTGTTTCTTTATGGGGACTGTACGGTCATTTCTATGAGCATAACCCTAATCCTAACAATGACAGCCTTAACCCCCATCCAGCCCATAACCATAAATAACCAAACAAACTACAATACTTATGGCATTTTTAGTTTTTCTGATCGCATTCAAATTTTTTATAAAATTGAGTTTCCCCTTGTGTGGACCAAAAACATGTCCCCACAAGGTCAGGATAACAGGTTTTATCACCTGGTGAGGACACTATGGTCCCCACAATGTAATATATACATGACCCACACTCCACACACATACACCCCTGTGCATGCAGTCTGCCCACATGCAGCACTGGCATCTGTTCACACACTTCATGCGGTGGCTGATGTGTGAAATTCCACAGGATTCTGAATCCTCTGACACGGCCATGGTCAACCCTCGCATCTCGTGGCTGCTCTTCAGACTGAACTCCAACAAAGGAGACAACAGGAAAACGAAACCTCAAAAGAAACCTTCCAAGGTAAACAAGCTAGCATGTGATGGGTATTTAGTATACCTCTAGAAAGTATGTGTAGCCTGTAGTGTTCCTGTAAGGAGTAAGGTGTGAGTAGGGTGTGCATAGCATGTAAGGGTAGTCTGTAGTGTCACTATTAGGTGTAAGGACAGTCTATGGTGTGCATATAGAATGCAGAGGTGGTCTATATGTGAAGACTGAGTGTAAGGACAGTTGGTGGTGTGGATGTAGGTTTAGGTGCTGTGCTTGGCTACACTGTAGTGTAGACAGTTTGCGGTGTGTAAATAAAGAATATGGGTGGTCTATGGTGTCCCTGCAGGGTGTATGGACAGCCTGTGTGCACATGTGTGCATGTAGAGTGTGAGAGCAGACTATGGTGTCACTGTGGGGTGTAAGGATGGTCTATGGTGTGCAGGTAGGGTATTTGAGTAGTCCATAATGTTACTGTAGGGCAGGAGTGCCCAACTCCAGTCCTGAAGGGCCAGAGCCCTGCACATATTTGGGTTTCCCCTCATTTAACACACCTGATTCAACTCCTTGTGCTAATTACTACACAGCTCTTGAGCTGAATAATTTATGGTCTATGGGGTGTTTGTAGGGTGTAAGGACAATCTGTTACATGTATATAGGGTGGTTTACAGTATCTATGTAGGGCATATGAACAGTCTATGGTGTGTATGTAGAGTGTAAGGACAGTCTATGGTGTGTGTGTAGGGTGTAAGGACTGTGTATGGTGTGTGTGTGTGTAGGATGTAAGGATAGTCTATGATGTGTATCTAGGGTGTAAGGACAGTCTATTGTGTCACTGTAGAGTATAAAGACAGTGCATGGTGTCACTGTGCAGTATTAGGACAGTCTACAGTGTGTACTTAGAGTGTAAGAACAGTCTTTGGGGTGTATCTAGAGTATAAGGACAGTCTATGTTGTCATTGTAGGATATAATATGGTGTCACTGTACAGTATTAGAACAGTCCATGGTATACATCTGGGGTATAAGGACTGTCTATGGTCTATATCTAGGATATAATATGGTGTCACTGTACAGTATTAGAACAGTCCATGGTATACATCTGGGGTATAAGGACTGTCTATGGTCTATATCTAGGATATAATATGGTGTCACTGTACAGTATTAGAACAGTCCATGGTATACATCTGGGGTATAAGGACTGTCTATGGTCTAT